TTCGTCCCATGACTGCAAATATGTAGTTTTATCGAAATCTCTTTTTGGTTAGGGTTAGTTTGACATTTCTCCATGAATCTGCTTAGTTGCTTTTTCAAATTTCGCTTATTCGTTTTTACTATTATTGTCGAACATCGTATCTTTGCTTGGAAGAAAAAGCGTGACACCGTCAGCAAAAAAAAACTGTCAAAAATTAATGGTTTTTTTTTTAGACATTTCAAACCAGAAAATTGTTGTTGTGCAAATTTTTTAAAGTTTTCGAATTTTTGTACAAAGTAACAAGTTTGGGTCTACATTAGGGTGGTCCAAAAAAGTAAAGTCGGAAATTTAATGCTCTCACCCCCTAGGATTGTTCTATACCGAAAAAAAGTATACCCCTGTTTTTTATTTTAAAATCAAAATATATTTAGAGGTCGCTCAAAGCGCTCAAAGTTTCCCATGTATTTTGTATGGGGAAAAAAGACTTTTCGTAGTAATGGCATAGAATCCATGGAAATCAAAAGTTTTCAATCTGAAAGCTCTGCTTCTCTTCAGAAGACTTCAGAGAATAATGCCCAATTGTTTATTTAAACATTTTTTAATTTTAACTATTTTTTAAGGGTCTCCGAAATATCCCAAAAAAATCAAATATACAAAGAGAAATATACAAAAGAAAAAAGAAAAAATAGTTTAAATTAAAAAACGTTTAAATAAACAATTGGGCATTATTCTCTGAAGACCTTTGAAGAGAAGCAGATTTTTCAGATTAAAAATTTTGATTTTCATGGATTCTATGGCATTTCTACGAAAAGTCTTTTTTTCCCCATACAAAATACATGGGAAACTTTGAGCGTTTTGAGCGACCTCTAAATATATTTTGATTTTAAAATAAAAAAAAAACAGGGGTATACTTTTTTCGGTATAGAACAATCCTAGGGGGTGAGAGCATTAAATTTCCGATTTTACTTTTCTCCCATACATTTTTGGACCACCCTAATCTACATACATGACTTTTGTTAGACCGCATCTTTTTGTCGCGGGGTGTAAAACAGGTACACATAGTACCAGGAATTCTTTTATTTTATTAAACTTTTTCAAAAACAAAGCTGTTTTTTTCTGCAGATATTGCAAAACGAAATTTTTTGCATCAATATAAAATTTGTTTGTCCGTAGAAAGGAACGAGCCTTATTCAACTGTATCGTCTCCTTCAAGGCGTGAATTGCCCCGAGATATTTTGAATTAATTTTTGATTGAAATCCATCATAGTTTTATTATTATTCTTGCACTATGTCACCTTATATTTACATAAATAAGAATAAGAAAAGTCATCTCATCACACCTGCGGAAAATACTACTCAATCTGCTGCGCAATTTGCATAATGTCTTTTACCTGATTTGCCTTGCAGTATCTAGTTAATTTCATTATTCTTACGGCTCAGAAGCTATAACATCCGGACTTTCCCATAATCATAGTTTAGAGAACAACACAATTTTTAATGATCTTTTAGGAGCATTCGTACAAAGCTGAATGTTTCACTCAAGGATTCACTCTGACCTTTTTTTCCTTGTATGGCTAAAACGCTGTAATCTTCTGTCGTTTGTATTTTTCTATAACTTAATATAAAAACCAACAACACAACTAAAACATTTAAATTTCTCACAACTAAGCCGCGCGACCTCTCATCTTTTACCTGATTACCTCATTCAACCTTTCTCATTGTTATTTGGCGGCTCAGCCGCTATAATCCCTTTAAATTTTTAGTAGCTGCGGGTTTTGGTTTTGAAAACAATAGAACTTTTGAAACAATGCGCAGACAGTTCTGCTTCCTTTTGTTTTCAAACATGCTCTCTATATTGCACTCATTGATGTCAGCGTCACTTGTTTAGCTGCGTCAGAAGTCCCTCAAATTATTCCAACTGAGTTCTTTGTTTTATGTAGAGTGGAGTGGTCAAGAGAGCAACAGATGTTTGAGTGCATTTGCGATAATGTCTGAATGCTGAAAACAAAACTAAACCTCCTTCAGTCGCGCTTGCTAATTTTCTATCTATTTAATTCACTCGTCTTTAAGTAAGCCGGTTAAGTCACTCCTATAATGACAACAACAAAAATTAATGTGACTTTCAACTTTAGATATTTGCGTAATTTTTATAAATTTTCTTTGTATGACTTTCACTGGCCGTTCTAACAACCGTTACCTGCTCTAAAAGTCGCTAAGTTTTTAATAGTAGATGGTTTTGCAGTCGCCTTTCGACTTTGAGTGAATTTTCATTATCCTTTGAGTCACTTTAGATGGGAATAGATTTGAGTGGATTTTGGGGTTCTTACATTGAGATATGTTCGACTTTTTTATTCGTTGTAAAAATAAAAGAAATGTTTCTATATACATACATATATATTGCTAATTTTTTTAAATTGATACTTAAAACAATATAAAAACATTTTATAATTTCTTCTGATATTTTTTCCACGTCGCGGCAATTTTTATATATTTTGCTGAACTTCTATTCCGTTCCTTGTTTTATATTATGTATTTGTAAAAAAGGCTTCTTATTTGATTTATTTTTGGTTGTGAAGCTAAGAAGAGATGGGATAATTAATCACATTAACATAAGTTCAATAAAATCTCTTTTCCGATTTCGATTATCATTCTTACAAACAAACTTTTAAATTTTCTGTAAAAAATGTGTAACACTTCCAAAATATTTGAATAAATCGAATTTGTACCACCGGACCGAACTGAATAATCGATATGTTTGAAAATGTTTGAAATGCGGAAAAAATCGAGTTTCAACCTACACTACCCATCCCTAATTCAGACTTTAATTGCATCCGAGTTACTCGGCTTTCTCGAGGCTGCTGAAGATCTTCGTTGTGGAATGGTTGTTAAAATCCATTAACGGGGTTCACCTGGCGAGCGTCGCTTTATTGTTTGTCGGTATAACGTGAGGCCCAGTGCTTGTTCAATATATGTATGGATATGTCATGCCTAAGACGGGGCTCTACTTCCATCGTGTGTACATATGTTCGGCTGTTTCAAGCGGCAGCAGTGAGGGCCGGTTGTTTAATATCTGATTAACACAAATCGGAGGTAGAAGCTCCGCTTAAGTACAACGACTGCTTTACATGTTATATGCATGATGTCGAAAACGTCAATAGTGTAGTGGTAGTGATAACCAGACATTGAACAACCGGCCCTAAGTGACTTAAGTGACGCTTCATAGTTTAGAATGCCCACAACGCCTCTTTGTCTTTTTCCAAGTGCTGCCTGCGACCTATTTGATGACTTTGAGAGCACTTTTTTGGCAAATATGTTTCTAGGCGCGGAGAAGGAAAATAAGCTGTCTTAGGTAATCGCGAAAACTTTCGGTTTACGAGTTTTAAGCATAGGTATTGGTGTGCCGTCGACGTGGATGCCTAATTGCAAGCTTTACCTCATTCGTTCATATGGTGAACAGGCTCGACGTTGATTTGGTAACTGAGAAAAAATTCAACCAAAAATCAGTTAATATTACCGAATCTAAACTTGAAAATGAATCAAAGTGATTTTTGTGTTTAATATACTATATGAACAATGATTTTATTGATATTTTCAACAATGATTGGGTTATATTAACCACATTAAATTAAATAAATTTTTGGTTGCAAATTTTTTCGTTTGAATACGTTTACGTTATGCACTTCACAGATGCTTTTTCATAATTATTTTTTATTATAATTTTAACTTGTTGCCTCGGACGGGATTTGAACCCGGACCTTATGAAAGTTTGCAAATAACAGCAAGCATATCTGCACACTCAGCTGCAGCCATACATTCAAATGTTAAACTTGTATCACATTTCTTACAATCGGTGTATTTACCATGAAAAAATCAAACACTAACTTGGTTGGCTCAGTGGAGCCAGTGTCTGAAATAGCAACAAAACATTAACTCCAAACAAATAAACATATTCTTACCATATACATATGTAAATAATCCAAATTGAAACAATCTAAAAGAGAAACAAATATTTTAATATTTCATCAAAGATTTTATTGCGTAAAATTTAATTTTTTCTAATTGTCAATATATTACACTTAAAATAGGTACAATATTTTAGAGTATAACTTTTAACTACAGATAACTACAGATAAGTATTATCTTGTGATAAATCCATTTTTTTAATAAAACGTTATTTTCAAATAAAATAGTCAATATACATATGAACAACTTAATGACCGTATATATGTATGTATATATACATACACACCATATTTGCATCCGTACATACTTGGATTTGTAAGGATGTTTGCATATTCATATAATTACACTATATAAAGCTGATTTCAAATCGATTGTTCAAATAATTATTGCGATTTTCTGAAAACATAAAATTAATTCGTTGAAAAAATAAATGTAGATTTGTATGCATGCATATGTGTGCAGACATATGATTTTTTGATATATGGGGACCAATTTATACAATATATGTATTAGGGATCTTTTAAATGTTAGATTCTCAAAACATTCGCGAATGCAAATATGTAAAATAATGCGACTCATTCGCATAACGAATGCGAATGCAAATATTCGCGACATCCCTGATATGTATATAAACACATGAATAAATGATATGAAATGAACTAGAAGGTCTACTAGATGGTCAACTAGTTGGTCAGCGGTTCGATTATGGACTTAACCAGATAACAGCGATCTTGGGAAGCCAAAAAAACCGATGTATCGTCATGTCTTGCTACCTCGCCGAGGACAATCTATGGGCGAGGCCAATAATTTGAATCGCATGGAAAGCCTCAGGTCACTTAGTGCCAACGAGCGGTGGAGGAAGTCCCAGTAACGGAACCGAAAAAGGTAAAAGCGGCTGGCATCAGAATGCAGGGTTTGCACTCGACGATCAGAAGATCAGAGGAATCATAGAAGAGCGCAATAAAGAAGGTACGAATTGGAATTGTTGGGTCCAATCTGCTTTGACAAAGGGATCGGGAAAACCGAGATCCACCCAGGTTATAGGTCCGTGAATTAAAATAAGTTTAACCCAAAGCTCGTCTGAAAATTATTAAAGCCTTAAATATGCTATAACGACGGCGGGAGCTTATGCAATGCTTACACTGTGGCATTGAGTGTAGTTATAGGAGATGCTCCAACAGTTTGCTCCGGGTATACCCACCCGCGATCGAATGATGGTCAATAAAAAGCCAACGAATCGAAACACGATTCAGGGGCCGTGCCGCTCTGCAACGAATTCGTAGATATTATGGCGAGGTAATGTGTACAAAACCGATATTTAAACTTAGGTTAATCAAGTAGCACTCGTGGAAGCTAAAGATAATTTATTTACTGCAATCGTACATATTTACACTTCAGTTTACAGGAAAGTAATATCAAAGTAAATTGTTGAATACACATTTTTGAGCAATATCGGATCGACTTATACCTATTTCAATATCATTGCACACATATGAATACATACACTACGAAATGTGCTTCGCCCAGAAAGTTTTTCATCTGATCTTCATTATGCCATTTCTACGACTAAGAAGGGCATTACTGTCACCTTATCTGATGTTTTGCGCCATTGAAAGATGTTCAAATGATAGCGCAAAGATATTTCGCACCATGTTTTGTCGCCAAAAAAGCACAATGAAAAAGTAGCATTTCAATAAATTTTTCTACTCGCAATTGCATATCGGCTACTACCTTTACACAATCTCTTAATACTTTTTTACATCTATCATATGTGGTTTCGTTCTAAACTATTAAATTTTTAATACACGATTTTATTTATAATTTCGAAATATGTATGTATGTAATTGCCATATCACTTTTGGTAATCTAAGAACACGCGAGTGTGTCCGATATATGTAACTATCTCTTTCGTCCTACAAACTACAGTACAGTACAGTACACGCTATGGATTAAATTAAAATTTACTCGTATAATAAATAGCTGGAGTTGGTTTATCGTATTTACATACATAACTGTTGCGTGGTGTGTGTTTTTTTTTGTTCGCTCAATCAGCAGCACCAGATAATATTGCACCTCAAGACAGTGAACGCTTTGCTGAATCTGCCACTACTCCCCCACTCTTTCGCTCGGCCACTCGGATCCCCGACCGTATCAGTGTCGGTAAGCCATCATTTCCGCGTAGCGCGTCGCATACGGTCATGAGATCCTGTCGGGTGTCTGGCGTTGTTGTGGTGGTTGGTGTAGGTGCTGAGTTGGGTTCGCCCTGTCAGTCACCGCTGCCGGTGATGCCGCATTGAACTCGCAGTCTGACGGCGAGCCTGGGTAGGATCGCTCGGATACGGTTTTTGGCGGGGGTTGTCCGCCGCTGTGTGGTGAGCAGTGTGGTGATCGCGTCGCTGTCGATGGGGGCGGGGTGGAGTGTGGCGAATGCGATTCGGATGAAGAGCGCCGGCAGAACGGATTAAGGCCATTGAATGGGGCTGCGAGCAGATGAGGTGCCAAGTGTGGGAAGCCTGGAAGCCCGGTTAGACCGGGAAATAGTAGCGGATTGCTTGGGTGATTGAGCAGAAGTCGCGGATCAGCCATGAAAGCTGCTTCTGGGAAGTTTTGCGCAGGTGGCATTGCCGTCGGCAAGTGTTGTTTCAGTGTGTCGAAGCTTAGCGGCGGCAAGCCGTGGGAGCCAGCATAGAGGCGTGCTAGGAATTCGGCTTGTATTGAGTTCGGTATAGTGCAGTTGGAATTGGTGGCGTTGCTAAAAGCTTTGTTATTGTTCGTCACCATGTGTTCGGGTAGAGAATCGTGATGGTGATTATCGCCTGTGGAGAGTAATTTGCGATGCAGGTTTAGGTTGGAGCTGTGACGATCTCGGCTTCGTTTCGAAGGGAAAGCAGCATTGCAACCGTCGATGTTGCATTTGTGATGCAGCTTAAGGTGTACATTTTGGTAGTGAGTTTTTAAGTGGAAGTGATTCTGGAACACCTCTCCGCAAGCCGTGCATTTTAGCGGGTTGTCTTTGTCGATGGGTACCTCAGCTTCCTCAGTCAGAAAATCGGTATGCGTTTCTTCGCCGGCTTGCTGCCGAAGGGATTCAACTGGCGCCGTAGGAATGTCGAACGTTTCTCTACACTTTAATGCAGCCTTTGGCGGAAGAATATTGTTGTTATTATTTTTAATTTGACATTCTGGTTCTGCGCTTGATATGTTCATTTTGCTCTCATCTACATCTAAAAGCTCGCTCTTTATTTTCACAAGCTTACTTTCAATTTCCTCCGGAGTTGAATTTGTTGTTGTTTCTAGAGGTGGTCCTTCGATGAGTTCCTGCTTAATCGTGAGTTGTGGCATTTCAGCGGTCGCTGTGGATGTGGCATTCACATCATTTACTTCCGATTTCCTTCTGTGTGCGGCAGATAGGTCCAATGAGTGTTCTTGCACTTGCGGTTGGCTTGAGTCAGTTCCATTCTGAATATTTTGCTGTCGTTCATATTCAACGTCTATTGGCTCTGACTTCAGTTGAGTGCTTGAAAATAGATGTTGGCGTGCCGTTGCCGTTGGTTCGCTAGTCGACGTAGATGGTGTCAGCGGTGGTGACGGAAGAACTTTTGTACTCTCGGTGGCGTTTGAGTTGACCACTGTTGGACCTGGGCTCTCAGACTTTCGGGTTCTTTTGGTCAAATCCAGTGATGCATTGTCTTGGGAATCGTCTCCCTTTGTTTCGTTGTCCTCAAAACACGTTTCTGGAACTGATTTTTTTACCGACAAATCGGCGACTAAATCGTATTCGTTGGAGTTATCACAGGAGTTTTCATCCGATTGCACAGTACATCGAACTGGGTTCTGACTCTTTCGCTTGCGTTTATTCGATGTGGAGCCAGGTGTGTTTGCAGCGCTGCTGCTACCGCCACTACCCACGCCCGGAAAGGTAGAACTCTCAAAGTCGCCCCGCATACTGAACGAATCGGTTACACTAAGTGAGTCGTCGTTGCTCTCGCTACTGTGCTGCTCAGCCACGCCCGATTCGGCATCGCGGTCACCGCTCGGTACTTTACTGGAAGATGGTTCTTTGGTATGCTTGTAGTCAGTCGTTAAAGGTGAGGTGAGATCCATATCGTGACTGTTGTCTTCTACATCGGAGGCGTCGTCTCCGCCGCCATCGGTGTTGTAGTCCTCTGAGTTGGTTTTCTCCAAAATACTGTCACCTTCATCACCCACCACCACAATACCCTCTCCCTCGTCATCGTCATCATCGTCGTCGTCGTCGTCGTCGCCTATGTGAATGCCGCCATCCAATATGCTATCATCTTCGTCATCGTCCAACTGGCCCTCACTGCCTTGTCGGTGACGAGAGCGTGTGTCAAAGCGTCCCAACATGGCGCTGTCCATGTATGAACGGTGCATAAATTCAGCTGAGCCGTGTTTCATGTCGTGCATGCTGGCCATTTGATGGTGCCTCATATCGGGCGGTGGTGTGAGCAGCGGAAAGCTGCCAAATGGATTGAGACCGGCCATCAGTCCGTTCGGTGGTTGTAAGAGCAACGGATGAGGTTGAGCTGTGCGCCCGTCGTGGGGAGATATTTTGCGCCTGAGGTGGGGAGAATGCAGCTTCGGGTTCGGATTGGCACTGTGGCGGTTTCGAGATCGGCGAGAACTGAACATCATACTACAGCCGTCTACGGTGCACTTGTGCATCTCTCGCAAATGTACCGCGGAAAAGTGGATCTTGAGCGCGCCTTTGTCACAGAAGGTCTTTAAGCAGACATTGCACTGCACGCGCTTTTTTCCTGTGACCGGGTTGATGAACTGAGTGCCCAAATTCGCAGGCAA